CACATGGGATCCGAACCCTCGGCGGGAGCGCCGCCACACTCCCAAGCAGCGCACTCTCCAGCGCGCCACCGGGCCAGCCCACTAATTGAATCTTATAACTGAAACACACCATTTAAACTTCGATTTCACCATTGAACAAAACAAAATGAAACATTATTATAAGGTAATATTTGCTTGAAGGGGTACAAGCCCAACAAAGAGGGATTTTCCTAGGGATCCCTGTCAATATTTTCCATTTCTCAAGGTTTTGTTCCTTAGAGAGCCATACTTTTGAGAGTGTGATCACTGCTTTATGCCAGTAATGTCAAGAAGAGAGACATTCTCTACTTTAATGTTATTGTTTCTCTTTAGTTTTGTTTTTCCTTCCACTAACATGTAATGATTCATATATCACATGAATCATTCCTACAATTACAACCATATATTATATTTATTTGCAAAATGTTACCTCAGGTAATACAAAAGACAATGATTGTGCCAAAAAGAAAAGATAAGATTGTACTATTTCTTTGAGCAATAAGTTGGCTGCCACCAACACAAAAACTATTCCATTTACTCCAGTGATTTATGTATGTCTTCACATTTTTGAGGGAGATTTGTGTTTCTTCCCCATTTAGGCATGCTCTGCATCACGCTGGCTCCTTAGTTAGTCAATTACTAGTCTAAAATCTATGACAGGGCCTTTGTCTTCCCTGAGGAATTTCCAGGTTGGACAGTAAAAGGAAAACATTCACCAAGAGTTTTGAGATGTTAAGTTCTTACTTTATCATATATACTTTTCTTCTTAATTTTGCTAAAGCACCTGTATTGGGTATAATTGCTTTTGGCTGCAACCAGTAGAAAACCCCTTAACTGAACCAATAGTTTATTTTTCTTATATAACAAGAAATCTGGCAGAAAGTGCCTACTCTTTTTTTTTTTGTCTTTTTTGTCTTTTTCCGTGTCCGGCAACGGATCACAACCCTCAGTGTCGCCCCCGTACCGGACCGGGACCAGCAACGGGATCGCAACCCTCGGTGTTGCTCCCGCGCCTCGCTCAGCCAGTGAGCGGGAACCGGTCTGTATGTGGGATCCGAACCCTCGGCGGGAGCGCCGCCACGCTTCCCAAGCGGCGCACTATAGCAGTGCGCCACCGGGCCGGCCCAGAAAGTGCCTACTCTTATTTGTCCAGTAGCTCTATGCTGGCTGGGTCAGCACCTCTTGCTCTGCCATATCATGGTCAAAGACCAGCTCTAGTCACCTCACTCGTGTTTAACACAGAAAGAAAAGGAAGGTGGAACCACTGGCATCTCTCCCTTTTATCAGGAATGCAAAAGCTTCCAGAATTGTTTCTACTCACCCCAAGTGATGAGTGACATTTCCTTTCATCCCTCAAGAGGCAAAACTGGGTCATATAACCATTTCTAGCTATAAAAGAAATCTGGAAAATTTAGGAAAAGGCTGCTATAATTGACCTAGCCTAACTGTGGTCCATAGCTTGGTGCCTCCCTGAACACAACTGAGGTTCTCTTTGCAGGGAAAAAAAGGGAGGATATATATTTTAGGTAGAAGGTTGACAGAATCTGCCATAGCATCCTCTTGACCTTTTGGTGTAATTATGACCCACTTACATACCAGCCTGAAGTAGTCCTTTATCTTCATATAGGCTAGTATCCACCCCACAAGCTTTAGGCTCCCATATACTATAATAAACTATTATGAAACTTACTATTACATAGAAACTTACCATTTCAAAAATATGAATATATTATAAATGAGGACAGAGATTTGATCCTTTCATTCCCTAGAATGTTTAATCATCCTACAATAAGAATGTTTTACATATTTATAATCACTCAAGTTACTCTTATAATTTGAAACACAGAATTTGGTAACTCTGGCTAACCAAACAGGAAACATGCCTGCTATTTTGTTATCACAAAAATTAGCATGTGGGTTCTCTTTGAAATTACACATACCGATCATTGCTACAAATATCAAGCAACAATGTCTTTCTTCCTCCCACACTCTCCTAAACAAATCAGGAGCAGAAGGATGGGGAGGGAGGGAAAATACTTCTTTTATTTTCAGGGGATCTCTAAGTCCCAAATAGTAAGTGGCTGTCCTTTTCTCTAACATTCAATCGATGCTGGTCATTTAATTATATGACCTTATTTTGGAGTGGCGTCAGGGGACCATAATCCAGACTCTCTGAGCTGAGATTTATTACTTTTTTATTGCTGATTGACACAGGTTTCTTTATAAAGAGGGAGATCACATTTCTTGATCTTTGGCCTGTTAAGGTTTGTGAGAAACTTTATTTCTCTTGAAGATCGTTATTTCAACACTTTCCCTTTAAGAGTGTAGGGAAAAAAATCAAAATCTTTAGGCCAATCAATGCACAGCAAACGGTGAATAGGGATGGTGTTTCTGACTGTTCAAGTTCTGGGGTCTCCTACCAGCAAGGTTTAGAGATTGCTTAGCTTCAGAATATGAAGAGGCACAGTGACAGGAGTAACAAAAACGTGGTGTCCCAATCCCCCCTTTGATTTGGATTGACGTGCAGAGGAATATAGGAGAAACAAAGCCAAAAGCGTGTGGCCAGATAGTCTC